ATACGTAGGTAACTAACTACTCTCTAAATAGAGAAAATATATATAAAACTCTATTATCTTATATTTCTATAAGTAGAGTAAGTAAGAACTAATACTAGTAAAAGTCTTAGCTAATACTATTATTTTATTAATATTAATAAGAAGTACTCTAGTTTCTTTCTTATTAATTATTAATAATAATAACTAAAAGCTTTTTTTTTTATTATTATAAAATAATAATAAGTACTTTTCTTTTTATTATTAATTATAATAGAGGCTAATTAACTACTAAATAAAGATTATAAATCTTTTAATAGCTTAAAGCTAAAAAGGTACTATTATAATAATAGATAAAAAGTATAAGTTAAACTATATAGTTCTAAAATAGATATTTTATTAATTCTAAAGAATAACTCTTTTAGAATAAATAAAAATCTTTTTCTTTTAAATATATTAATTACTTAGAATAAGTAATAATATAAATAAAATATATTCTAACAAAGCTATAAGCGTTTAGCTAGACTTATAACCTATAAAGAATAGATAGATAATAAGAACTATTCTCTAATAATAGAATATAGCTTTATTAGAATAAAGTAGTTAAATACTATAATAAATAGTATTAACTAATAAAGATTATAATATAATTACAGAGTAGATAATAGGTAAAAGATAATAATATTATTACTAGGTAAAAAATAACTATAGAGAATTACTATTTCTTTTATAGAAAATAGCTACTAGAATAATTACGTAAATATCTACTTATTTCTGCCTAGAGATAAGAATTTATAATTAAATCTACTTAATTTCTATTAATTTCTAGATTTATAATCTAAGTCTACTAAATTCTTCTTATCTTCTAGATTTATAATCTAGACTAGTACTAATTATATTAGTTTATGCGTTGTATTATATAAACTAATAATTAGTTTATTACTAGATCTTTTAGTAATTATAGAAAGAGAGATAAGAAGATAAAAGTTATTAAATTACGTAATAACTCTAATATTAACTAGGCTAAGATAAATAGAGGTATTTTAGAATCTTCTAGTATAGTAGATTAAAACTAGCTACTAAAATCTTAATTACGTAAGTAATTAGATTTACTAGAAATTTTTCTAATTTGTTAAGAAATAATAATAAGTGCAATCTTAACAAAGCTTAATAATAAAAAGATAATAATAACTAAGTTATTATAATCTTTATATAAGATAATATATAAAATAGTATATAAAATAGTATATAAAATAGTATATAAGATAGTATATAAGATAGTTATATTTATAGATTATATAAAGTTCTACTATAGAATAAGATTTCTAAATATATATAAAGTAGTAATAATAAAATAATTTAGTTAAGTAATAGTAAATAAAGTAATATAACTAGTAAGAAATTAGTTCTATTTTTATAAATACTAAGAAAACTTATAAATTATTTAACTAGTATAGTATTTAGTATTAAATTTAAGCTACTTATATCTTTAATATATCTTTAGATTTCTAAAAGTAGTAACTTATAGAATAGAAAAAGTACACTTTTACTAAGAAAGATTTTAGTATATATATTCTAACTATAAATCTTTAGAATATATTACTCTATTAGTTATAAGCTAATAAGTATATATTATTATATTCTAATTCTCTTAGAGATTAGTGTTAAAATTCTTTTATAAAGTACTTTAGTATTAGAATAGCTTTATAGCTAGTCTAAATTTAGAAGCTTTAACTACTTTAAAAATAATAGTACTAAAACTCTAAGCTTTAGCTTACTTAACACTATATCTCTAAAAGTAGATAAAATCTTTAGTTATATATTCTTTAGTAGACTAGTAATAGACCTTACTCTTTTAGAACTAGTTTATAGGCTATAGAATTATTAGTTTACTAATAAAAATATAAGTATACTATATATATAACTATATATACTAAATTAGAATCTAGGCTATATATACCTCTAACTACTCTTAAAAGTACTATACTACGTTACGTTAGACACGCTGTAAAAATTAAGAGTCTAATAGAACCTAGAGTAGTTACTTAGAGGTAGGTATAGAAATGTACTTTGTATAGATCTACAATTCTAACTTTCGCGAAGTTCTTCTCTACAAACACTACATCTACCTACAGCGAAATCCTCTCGATATCGTTCTTCGCAGCATGGCTGGTAGCCACGAACGGCAACTGCTCCTGCAGCGCCTTGAAGTTCTTCTCCGCCTCCCAATTCCAGATGCTGTCGGACGCGAAGAGCAAATCAATCTCCTCGAGCGTGCGCTGGTTCGTCTCGGGGTACAGCGCCCAAACCATGGGGATGGTGATGGCGTTGCATGCAGCGAAGATGTAGAGCGTCTTCTCGCCGAGCGAGTCGAACATGATGGGGCAGAGGAGTGTGAGCCAGCCGTTGCCGATGGACCAGCCAACGACGCCCCAGGCGTTGCCCTTGGCGCGCACTTCGAGGGGGAAGATCTCGGCGGGGTAGAGCCATGGGACTGTGAGCCAGGTTGCGCCGAAGATGGCCGTGAAGATGAAGACCATGGAGACGGCGGCGTTTCCGTATGAAGATGCTGCGCTTGTGTCGCCGCGCTTTGTTGCTTCCTGTCCGAGGTACGAGAACCCTCCGGCGAGGGCCATTGCGATGCCTTGTCCTGCGGAGCCCCAGTAGCACGTCCAGCGGCGGCCGATGCGGTCGAGTGTGAAGACGCAGATGAGTGTCGCGAACATGTAGAAGATGTTGTTGAGACCTGAGATCCATTGTCGCTTCGCCGGGCTCATACCCGCGATGCCGAAGATGGTGGGCGCGTAGATTGTGACACCAGCGATACCAACCTACGTGTTCGAGTTAGCGACATCGATATGCATAACATGCGTCCAAACTTACCCATTCCTGCATGATCTGCAGCCAGATTACAAGCTGAACGCGGCGGCCAGTGTGCAGCTTACCAGACCCGATACCGAACAGCATGCGGAAGTAGTCTTGCTTGCGGAAGTTAGAGCGCTCCAACTCGCATGAGGCGACAATCTCCTGGAACTCGACTTCCGCTCTCTCCTTGTCCTCTCCGGTATCGCCTCGAAGTCGAGCCAGAACGTAGCGTCCCTCAGCCTCTCGCCCCACCTTCACGAGCCAACGCGGGGATTCCGGGAAGAACATGACGGCGGCCATGAGGACCATGAGCATAGGGATCTGGAATGCGATGGGGAAGCGCCAGATGAAGGACGAAGTGCCGTCGCCGTAGAAGGAGCATGCGTACTCAAGCCAGTATGCGATGACGACACCGAGGATGTTGAGGGTGAACTCGATCGCGATGAACTGTCCGCGCGAGGTGTGCTCCGCGGTCTCGGTAGCCCAGACAGGAATGATCGAGTTGAGAATGCCGGTGCCCCAGCCGTTGACGAGACGTGCGCAAATCATCCACTCGTGGTTCATGGCCGAGCATTGCAAGCATGCACCGACAGTTGCGACAGCTGCTCCGACAAAGATTGTCTTGATGCGCCCGTAGCGATCACCAATTGAGCCACCGACCAAGCATCCCACCAGTGTACCGAGGTAGTATACCGACACGATGCCGCCTTGGAGCAAAGTATCGTCCACGACTGGACCGCCGTCTGCGCCTTTGTGTCCGAAGCCCATCAGGGTGTAGTAGTCGTATGCGGTGTTGACACCACCCATCATTCCCTGATCGTAACCGAAGAAGAGGATCGATAGACCGGCGATGCAATTAATCCTGGTGGAAGAGTTAGCGATGGTTTGATTGTGTTGTAATCGTAACATACGCGATGAGCAATGCGCGCTTCTCATATCGATGAACGACATTCCACTTGGAGATCTGGTCCATGGTGGGCAATGGCTTCGCAACGTCAGACCCTTGATTGGGTGTAGTATCGCGAACGTGTACGGTTTGATGCTTCGCTGAGCGGGAAACCTTGTCGCGAACATTGAAGCCCGTAGGCGGATCGGGCGTACTTATAGCATGATGCCATGAGCATGGATAGGTTACATCGTGACTTTCGCGCGTGGTCGTCCAACCCTGCGGAGGCCTTTGATTCCCATGGGGCCCCAATTGTCGGCCCCTCTTTTCATGGCTGGGACGCGGAAGCCTCTCCAGTTACGACCATGGATGTGTGGATCGTAAGCTCTCGATAGCTTGTTAGTCGCGGCCAAGTCGCGCGACAGTGGTCCGAATGCTTCGCGCATTACTAGAGGCGGTAAGCCGCCCTGGCACAGACGCCGGTGCACTTGCCTGAAGCTTGCCGGCACCAAGCCTAGCGCCCAGGCGGCTACCACACGCAAAAGCCTTGAGAAGCATTTGATGCCAGTCTTGCGAAGGCTTTGCGTGCAATGAATGAATGCGATGCCCGTCAAGTTGTAACGATTGATTGCGGCCATGAGACGCAGCGAATTGGTCGTGATATTTGGCATCGTGGGTGGTGACGTAGCATGAGTCAAGGTTTTCTGGGGAAGGAACTAACTTGACTTGGGCATGCACGATGCATCGGCCTGAACCCCGACCCGCTTCAATTGCCGACGGTTGAATGCGCGGCAATGCAAGGCTGTTCGATGACGATTGGCAAGATTTTCGTAAGAAGAGTCGGCGTTTCTCGAGATCGGGCGCTTCAGTTTCCCAGTTTGATGTTGGCAGTGTGCGACAGCGGTCGCTTCTCGTGTAGAGACGCGGGCGAAGACGGAGAGTGTGGTGTGAAGCTTGACCGATGAGCGTCGATGGTCCATAAGCGGCACCGGACCCGATGCCGGGTTTACCAAGTTCACGTTCAAAAGAGGGACGCGGACTCTGCGACGCTCACCATTGATGCATGTCAAGGAGTAGGGAGTGCGCGATGAAGGGATTACTCGCTGGCGACAGCAGCTCATATCATGAGAATGGGGGACAGGTGGATCGGAGGGTGCTGTCGCTTCGGACTGTTATGGCGGGCTCTGGCCGTACTTTCGCTCGCCTACTGGATTTTACTCTCCTATCACATGAGCATAGGTGTCTCGTGGGTATAAAGCGGAACAGTGTGGTTTCAAGCCGCCGCGCCTCCGCTATGTTGTTTCTCACAATACCGCTTCAGATCCTCGCACCAGAGGGCAACCTTGCCCTTCAATGTGTCCTCCATCATCAGCTTGACAACCCTTGACAGCATGCCAGTCATGATCTCCCACGACCTGACCTCGCATTCGTTTTCTCCAGTGACAATGACCTCGTGGAAGCGCTCCAGCTTGGGCGCAAAGCCGTACATGCCGCCGTTGCCCGTCCAACTCACCCTGTATACCTTGCTAAGATCGGCCGTAAACGAGGAGTCTTCGAGGAGGTCGGGTGTGAGGTAGGATGTCGGCGCAGAGGGCGTGCTGATGTCGACGACCTTTAGCTGTGTCTTTGTGATATCGTTCGGCTTGTCCGCGTTCATGATGACATGGAACTCCATGGAGCAGCCGATGCTCATACGCTCTTGACTAGTCGAATCGAGATCGTTCCCGGGGGACTGGATCTCCGCGACGGGTACCCACGTGTTCCATGCCTTGTAGTCTTTGGCGCGGAGAAGGGTGTCGAATACGAGTGACGCCGGCGCGTGCACTGCCGTCGAGTAGGCGATGGTGAGGATGGCGTCCTTTCGCGAGACGATCTTGGTGGTGAGCCCTTTCGCGGGCGGCCAGGCTGCAGTTTCAGACATGGCGTAGTGAGTCGTGTGTGTGTATGCGTATGTGCATCGCGATGGAACGAGGTGCAGATAGTGTTTGCTTATGCTGACGACTGCGCCGCGTTGCTTATCGAAGGACGCGCCTTATCGATAGGCTAGCCCCAGGGTGGAACGCCGAGGCCACCCTTGTGCATCTCTCATCACACCGCGCACAGTACACTTCGCAACGTCTCACCATGTGGCACCCTTTCGATAATATATCCGAGGAGCTCGTCGATGCCATCGTCAGTCTATGCGGCCGACGCACACTAGCAAACTTGTGCCGCGTGTCCAAGCAACTCAACCGCATCGCAACTCCTCATCTCTACGCGAATATCACGTTGAACGCAGACATAGGCGGGGAGGGAGCTCTGAGACACCTCCGCCCACTTGCGCACCGCACTTTCGCCGATCCATCTTTTGCTTCGCTTGTAAAATCCATCGCCCTTCCAGAAGGCTGGGGAGGTTGTGAGAGCGCACCTCGCCTTGACTGTTTCAAGGTGAAGCCATGGCCAAGAATCGAAACTCCCGAAACCGAGCAACTGCTAGAGCGGATATGTCGGGAATACTACGAAGATGAGACCAAAGCGCTGAGAATGTACATCAAGTTGTATGCAGCTGATGCGGACGTCATTATCACACTGCTCGTCGCGAATCTCCCAAACCTGGAGAGATTAGACTTGGAATTCGGAGAGTTTCGTGACCATAAGCTCTTTTGCGAAATGATCAAGGGGTCTGCCGGGCGCCTTGAGGCTAAGAAAGCGGCGTCACTCAATTCGACGGAATCTTCCTTGTCTCCAACCGCCCCATTGCCAAAACCTGTCGATGTGTTCATCAGAGATTCTGAGGCTGGCGATGTTGACTATCTGGCATCATTCTTCCACCTGCCGAATCTTCGCTCCATGTACGCATTCAAGTTTGGGGATGACGATGAGAATATCAGTACAATGGAGAGGAATCCATTCGCCTTGCTGGGACTGCGATCCTGTGGCGTGCAATACATCGAGCTCAGAGCCTCCTCGCTGGCAACGCATACGTTGCAACACTTGATCGAAGCGACTATACCGGGGAACTTGAAAGCTTTCCTGTACGAGAGGGCATGTTCTTTGACGTCGCGCTCGGCGGAGCTTCCCTTTCTCATGCGTTGTCTGGAAGATCATCAAGATCACCTAGAGACTCTGGCGCTCGGTTACGAGGAGATCGAAGGCTGCATGGTATTTGAACATACATGGTGGGAGTTCTTTGACAGACGGCCAGCCGCCATGTCATTCACTTCATTCAAGTCTCTTCGGCGCCTCCGAGTAGCGCCCGAAACGATCTGGGGATACACCCATGACGAATGCACTGTCCAGTACGAGGAGGACATTATGCTGACCATAGACATGTTTTGGAAAGCCCTTCCAGCATCCTTGGAGGAGCTCTGGCTTACACGGTTGCAACACCATTGGATACCGGGCTTTATGTCCCATGATCTCGGCATCATCCCCAACATCTTTATACCTGCGCTGGACCGTCTTGTAGAGGAAAGCAGCAAAGCTTGTCCCCATCTCCGGTCGATCTGCATTGAACTCCTACCTAATCATTGGGAAGTCCTGTGGCTGGATGAGCTAGCCGAATGTTGTCACGACGCTGAAAGAAGAGGTATCCACTGCACTGTCATCTTCCTTTACCCGCGTGATGTCAACTCCGATTTTAGAAGGAGTGAAGCGGTCGAGCGTGGATGGGGCTGGAACGAAGATGTCGAATGGAGCGAGATTTCTATGAACGCAAACAAGACATGGCGGAAACATGTCATTCATGCAGCGAAGGAGAATGACTTGAAAGGGAAAATGAGGGCGCTTCAAAACAGTAGCTTCGAGTACGTAGACAACAAGTCGTCGTTATCCGAAGAGACCGACACCGATGACGACTTGTCTTTATCAGGACACAGCGGAACCGACGACGATTTATCTCCATCAGAACAGAGCGACACCGACGCTTAGGGATAACGGACTCCGAAAGGAAGAACAAGGTCAAGAATTGCAGCGGAGTTCAATTGGGAGTTGGTATTACGTCGATCAAACATTTCGGTAGAGCCATCCAAAGGAGACAATTTACGTCAAAGGGGCGTTTGAGGTAGTGACCCCAATTAAGCAAGGAACATACGTACAAGCACACGGCAATAACTATTAACGAGAAGGGAAAAACATCGCGACGAGCACGACATCTAGTGCGCAAACGAAAGATCAAACATCAGACTGCGTAGTCGCGCCAATAGCAGCACCGCTCTTCGGCACGAGAAAGTCGCTCTTCGGAACCCTTCCATCAGCACCTCTTGCCTTCTTCAACGTAGCAGGATCAACGCTCAAGAAGCTAGCATCCGACCAGCTGCCGGACTGCCACGAATTACCCGTCGCCTTGATACCCGACGCGGTGAGGCTGACCTGCGAGCTACCCACATTCGAAACCGCAATATTGTTCTTCATAGTCGAGCTGGAGCTGCGGAAATTGAAGCCCACATCACCATTCTTCCACGCGGTATTGCGCTCAACCGTCAAGCTACCAGGGTTTCCGTTATCAATGAACCCCTTCTTCGCGTTAGAGAACGCCATGCAGTTGCGCACAACGTGGTTGGCAGGCGGGTTATCCGTGATACCGAGCTTGAAGCCGTTGCCGTCTCCCTCGAAAGAGCTGAAGCCCCAGCGATTGAACCCATTACCCCACGCATATACCTCTTCCAGCGTGACGGACGAGCCGAACATGAAGAGGTCAAGGCCGTCGTCGACGTTCTCCCATAGGCGTGCGTTACGCAGGACGTTGCCCTCGCCCGATCCTTCTTTGCAGGCGAAGCCGTCGGCGGACTCGCCGTTCTTGCGCGGGTCGCGGTTGCGGTACGAGTCGAGGTATACGACGGTGTTGTTGGAGGAGGCGCCTTGGAGCTGGAAACCGGTTTCGTAGTTGTCGTGGGTGGTGAGGAGTTCGTAGTGGTTGTGCGATGCGTCGCGGGCGTATACGCCGTATGGGCCGTTGATAATCCTGGGCGTTGTGTTAGTATGCTAAACGGTCGGGGTGCGGAGATAGATAGGTGTACTCACTCTAAGTTGTAGAACTTCCAGTAGTTCGCTTTCTCGATGTGGAGAGCACCGCGCTCCTTGTTTGGTAGAGACTCGTCTAGGGCGTACGGTGTACCGGGCATGCCTTCGCCATCGATGATGACCTTTTCCTTCTCGAAGGAGCGGAGAGTGATGGGCTGGATCCTGGTGCCGCTCTTGGTGATTTGGATGTTTGTCGTGGGCTTGTATGTACCAGCGCGTAGAAGGATCACATCGCCAGGTGCAGCAGCGTTGACGGCTGATTGAATTGAGCCAAAGGGTGCGGCAGAGGTACCCGTTCCTTGACCTGTTGGCGAAACATAGATGTCTTTAGCGTTTGCAGAGGTAGATAGCGCAGCAATAGCAGCAGCGAAACTAAGCGAGCGCATGTTGAGAAGTAGTACGATAATACAAGATGGGTATTGAGAGGTACTGGTAGGCCAGGGTTGTTCTGTATTCCTACAATGAACAGTCTATGGACTCTATATACTCCTAAATCAATCTCCGTGGCATCTCGCGAACCCAAGATTGTGTCGCATGTCATGAGTCCGTACCTCTGTACCTCTCGTGTCAGTCGCCAAGATGTAATAGATGAGCATGCGCCGTCGTCGAAGCTCCACCAATGCCTTAAATTTCCGACTCTTCGCTTCGTGCAACCCTCGACGCGGTGACACAGACGCCCGAATGAGCAAGCTTTGCTGTACCCCACAACTCGCTTGCGGTAATTATTCATGTCGCACGTGGTGGCGCATGCGAGTGGGTATGTGATTGATGGATCGCACAGACGGAGTTTCAAAACATCGCCAAGTGAGAGGAGGTTTTGCGCTATGCAGACATTGGTGCAGGCGACCTTTATTGCGACCGGGTAGTACCGGGGAAACTTCGACCGAGGGAATATACATCCGATTCATGGATCTCTGTACGTGCTGTCGCGAGTCGTGCGCAGGTAATGGTGTGGTGGTGAAGTGGTGTTGAAGGATAGTGTTCAGTAATCGAGATGGCCGACGAGCGGCAATGGCGGCCGCCGAATGCGCCAAGCTAGTCCAGATCTTGTGTTGTCCTAACGCCAGTGTCAATGCCTGTTGAACAACTCGATATTGGAAAAGGGCGGCCTCATGTACCTTGTGCTGGCAGGGGAGAACGCTCAACCACCGTCGTATTGCACGCTACCAAGCCCACAATCTTGATCTCGTTGTCGCGTTACCTTCCACGCAATGACATCTGGCGGAGATATTCCACTAACACTCTTCCACCATCCATCTTGGGTAAAGTTGAAAGGCCACAAGTCAAAAGCCATACGTCCGATGTTTGTCTTCTCCTCTTCCGTCTCTATCTCTTCCTTTGCTTTGTACAACAGGTCGTGCAGCAATTTCGCCCCGAAGCCCTTGAAGTGTACGTGAACAAGCATTTCATCGATGTGCGACGGCACGCTTGCGTTGGGCGTAAGGTGAAATGGTAGATGGACAATCGGCCACGTATAAGGGTCTTGAGGGTCCCATTCCTGTGAATCGTCGACTGGCGATCGTTCATTCGGCTTTGCGCATGTCGTAAGTGTTGGAGGTAAGTGGTCAACTTCGTCCGGGTCTCGGGCCACGATCGTTGAAGAGCGACGGTGCAACACCGTGGAAGGCGTTCTCACAGCCAGTGTCGCAAGCGAAGAGCTACGAGCTGGCCATAGGTTCGTCCCGCTCGGCCAGCCTGCAAGCGATCCTGGTGTGTCGCGGTAGAAGGAGGTAGGAGAGGTCACACGCCATGGAACCTGCGCTGT